GGCAGGAGTTGCAGCCACGAAGCTGCAGAACAAGAAGTTCTACCCCATGGTGTGCTCGACAGCGGCCAAGAGCAGCATGAAGGTGATCCGCTCCTGCGCCAGCTGCACGTCCCTGCAGTATCTCTGCTGTTACCGACTGCGCCAGCTCCTGCCCGACTACGTGGACACGCTGGAGGTGCTGCCGTTGCCACCAGGACTCAAGCAGGTGCTACACAACAAACTGGGGTGGGTCTTGAGCATGAATTATAGCACCTCGAAGCCTTCCTCCTCCTCTTCCTCATCGGGAAGCGACTCGGATAGCTCCTGTGGCTCAGATGCAGAGGCCTGCCAAAGGAAGAGGTGCAGGAGGACATAGTGTCTCTGCAGAGGAACTGCTGTGAGGGAGTCGGGTGGGTTCTGTTCCGCCGTCTGCGAGGGCTGGCCAGGCCCGATGCCCCTCGTTCTTCACGGGGACTCCGTTTCTACTAGTTTGCAACGATTTCCCTGACGCTGTTGGAAATCTTGAGCCTAAACATCCGTCACATGCACAGAAAAGACCTGTGGACTTGCGGAGGTCCCAGCTGTGTGGGACAGGTAAACTGCAGCCCAACAGCTGAGCTGCATCTCTTGACTTGCTGTCAAAGCCGCTGCCCCTTCCTGAAGGATCCCTCTTCTCCCTGTCAGCAGAGACAAGATTTAAGGTGACCTCCTGGTTTCAAGGCACACCAGGCTCTAGTCACACAACTGACTTAACTCATCGAGAGACAAAATCACAATCCTCCCAATTGTTGGGTGTTGGATTGGGGTCGGCCGTGAGCTCACACTGTGGGGCACGATGGAGCAGCAGCACGACGGGCTCCGAGGGATGGATCCGTGTCACTGTTGTGACAGAGCAGTTACTGACATGAGCTGTTGGTGACTTTGAGTCCCTGATGACTTCAATTGCTTTGCATGTTGGCTCCTGCCACTTCTCCTCTATCAAAGACTGTATTAAACTGTAATAATAAAAGTAGAAACTCTCGTTCCTTCCTCTTGAGGCCCTTGAAGGCAGGAGTCTGAAGGTACTTGTCACAAACAGCCACGCGCACACAGCTGCCAGCCTGGAGAGGGTGTTTTACACCAGCGCTGGGGTGGCATCCAGAGGAGGTGAAGGCAGCGGAGCTTCCCTTGCCTCTGCCCCGGGGAGGGTTCTTGTGCTGCCTGCGGAAACACCAGTCCAGCTGCAATGGCTCTTCTCCAGAGCCAGACGGATGCTGCAGCCCCAGTGCTGGTGGCAGCCCGGCAGCAGAGCCACGCGGGGCCTGGTGCCAGCGCCGTGCCAGTCCCTGCCCTTCCTGACCACCTTCTGCGGGGCCTGTGCTCAGCCCGTGGGGCCTTTTCCAGCCTCAGCCTCTCCTCCACTGAGCAGCACCTCTGTGGGTGGTTTGGGTCTGAGCTGGTGCCGTCAGCCAAGTGCAAAGGGTATTGGAAAGGGGAAGAGGGATGAAATAAATAGGAGGGGAAATGGCTTTCAACCTATCTTCTCCCTGGGTTTCCTCCCAGCGTGGTTACTGGGAACACAAAGCCCCAGCCCCTGCCTTTTCCCTGCTCCCATTACAGACCTGCAAAGGCTCCAGTAAAGCTTTTTGCACCATGTGTGTCTGGCGACAGGCTTTCAGTGAGCACTTCAATGAAGCAGGATGGGCTCTGTCAATCCAGTTGTATTGGTGCTGCAGCCAGAAAAAACAGCCTTGCTGGCTTGCTCCTCCCCAGGAACTAATTTAAGTATTAGCAGATGGAGGCAGCAGAATCCCTGGCAAGGAGGAACTCTGCTTGGAGGGCACCCTCCCACTTCTGCAGCGCTAGTTGGTGTTGCTTTAAGCCAGCAAGCTGCGGTTCATGGGAAGAAGTTGGGGGGGTTCTGTATCATTGTGGAAGGCCCCAATCAGCACTGGGGGGCCGCTGACCCCTGCTGACCTGGCTGGGGTATTTCTGAGTAAAAAGAAAGCATTTGCTTTGGGAAAAGAGAATCCCACCCTCACCCACCCTTTCACATGGAGTTTTCTGGAGCTTACCTGCCATTGCTGTGTGTTGGAAGTTCAGCCACAAACTCCCCTCCCCTGCCATGAGCTCCGTGTTAGCCCAAGGAGGTGGTTCCTCTCTGGCCAGCTGGTTTCAACAATTGGCAAACGGTTTCTGCTGTAACTCCAGCAGGACCCACCTGCCCACGGAAAGCACAAGCAGGAGCTGCAGTAACCAGTGAGGCCCAGTCTCACCAAAGAGCCAGTGGGGAGCAGGATGTTGAAAGCCAGGACGTGCTGCAGAAAATACCCGGCTTGTTCAACAACTGCCCTGAACGGCAGCGCAGGACGGACTCGCCCAGTGGCTGTCTGGGTGATCCCGTGCTGCTCAGGGACAGCTCGCTGACACTTCCAACTCCACCCGTTCCTTAGCTCTCTTAGGAGGCAGCCAGCTTTCCAGCCAGGGGGACAGAAAACTGGGGCAGCTAAAAGAGGAAAGGAGAGCCAAGAGGCTGAAGGAAGCATCTATAAGAAGACATTTACTGAGGTGCAAGTCTCTGTTCTGAAACAGACTCAGCTGCTTCCCCTGGCCGGGCTCCCAGCAGAACCGCTGTGCCAGCAGCAGCTCAGCTGCTGCCCAGTCTTGGCAGCCAAAACAAGGAGGCTGACCAACACGGGCCCTCTGTGTGCTCAAGTCCAGGACAGGGTTGGGGTGGGTGGACACCATGAAGAGGCAGATGCGGTGGGTAAGTGTGGCCCAACACGGCGGTGTTTGCCGCTGAAGTCTGAGTGATACTGTGCTGTCACTCAGCAGGAGCAGTTTTGCATCTTCTGTGCTGCCTTCGTCACAGGCCTTTGAGCACACAGGAGAAGGAAGCGGTTAGCGCAGATGCTCTAAGAGAAGACTCCAGTCTCCCCGGCAAGGCTCAATCCCATCGTTACAGTGAGGATCCATGACTGAGCCTTCATCCAAACATACCAGGATCAGGGGATAAAACTCAGAAGAAACAAGATCTATCCCTTGCAAACAGACCTCACGCACTCAGAGCTGTGTGCTGCCCCTCCAGCATACAAGGAGAGAGCTGTAAAGCCCCTTCTTCCGAAGAGGCCACACTAGGGGCAGAGATCAAAGCTCCAGGGGAAGAAAAAGGGGAGGAAAGTATTTGACTACATGAGACTTTTAAAAACAAAAGTTCTGTCACAGTTCCTGATCTAATGGAAAGAGTTTATGTGATGAATGCTCACAAAACCAGGCACTTCTCTTCATAGATTGGCTAAGCTGCTGTCAGAAAGGCCAGACAGCACCCTAGTCTAATCCTGCTCCCCCAACACCTCACTGAGCCAGTCTAGCTCAGGAAGCAGCAGAAGGGAGTAGGGAGAGGGAGAATTTAATGAGCTCAACCAGCTCCCTGAAGGATAGGACAACAGAAGAGCAAGGAAAGCATGGGGTATGCCGCTGGTGACAGCAAGCGGTGAGAGAGCTCGGGTGTCCTGTGGAAACCCCTCACAGTCTGCAGGGGAGATGCATGTTTTCTGCTCGAGGGTGATGCAAAGATGTTGGGCTGTACCAGCAGCTGCCCAAGAAATCACCCATTTCAAATAAAAAGAAGCAAAGCTGACGGACAGGGCGAGTTGGACAAGGGCAGTGGGATGCGTCCAGCAGGCCCTCAGCTGCACTGGCTGGGGTGGGTACCCCCATGTATTGCCAAGCAAAAATGCAAAGACGCTTTGAGTGGGTCCTGTGAGGTGAGACCAAGGCAAGGAGAAGCCTGGAAGGGCTGACAGGAGGGGCAAGTGGCTACTGCTGAAACAAAGCTACAGTTTAAGTCAAACACCCATCTGGAGACAAGCCTTGCCTTTCTGGAGAACCAATTTCACACTCGGGGCTTGTTTGCTCCATCAATAAAGACCTTTAGGTGAGGAAGCATGTGGCACCCCTCCCTGCCTTCATCCTCCAAACTTTTAACGAGGGGTTTGAGGGCTTACCTGTAACAGGCAGCTTGGGGAGGCATGTGCTTCTGCTACAGCTGCTGCTGCTGCAAGGCTGATGCTGTTGAACAGCTGGATTTGTCTCTTCACACCTGCCAGTGTCCTGTGCCGTCCTTCTCCGCTCACGCCCCGCTGGCCCAGGCCGTGGCAGTGCAGAAAGGCAACTCCTGTGACTCCAGCTGCCTCCTGCAGACAGACAGACTGCTGAGAGCAAGGCCTGGGGCCGGTGCATGCACTGAGCACAGGCCTGCAGACCCAAGAGGCTGCAGCCTTCCCCCAGCATTAAGCAGTGGGCTTCCTTCTAAAACTTCTTTGTGCCCAGGGCGAGTATTTTTTCCCCCTCAAATTTCTTTCCTTCTCTGGAAAGCTCCAGAACACCGGGGTGAAAAGATTTTCCTAAGACTGTCATTTTCCCTCCTTTCCTAGTGCTGAATCACCACTGTATTCACCACAAGAACAGAAGATTTTTATCATCAGAGACTGAAAATGATCTTGAGACACATCTAGTCTGGCCCCTTACACTGATGGCATCAAGGACAGGCTGGCAGCCACAGATAAATGTTCCTGTAACTTCCACTGACGTTTCCCAAAGCTCTGGGCTTGGGATGTGACCGAGGCCAGCACCACGACTCACTTGGATGGGTGTTTTGCTATCGCCTTCAGAGACATGCTGGCCAAACTCCTGCCACGTGTCTAGGAGCAGCACTTCGATGTCACCCCACAGCTGCAGCACCACCAGCGCCTGCAGGAGAAGCGACAGAGGTGAAACACGTAATACACCGACCAACGGGACACAGACAGGCTCGGGTGGGCCAGCCAGGAGCCGGGCCAGCCTGAGGCCTTCCTCCTCCTCCACCCTCAGCCAGCAGCGCTGGTGTCAGCCCTGGCCACCAAGGGCACCCCGCGAGAGCAGCAGGGAAAGCACACAGGTAGGACATGTCCTGCGGCAGGATGAAGCTGGGCTGGGGCTGGAAGGGGAGGCAGGCTGGGCTGCCTGTGTTAGCTTTACAGTGCCACAGTAAAGCCTGCTCATCCTTCTTACTTCTCCCAGTAAGTCAGCGAGTCATACCCCCCTTGGGGGCATACTCAGGCAGGGCAGGAATCTAGTTCAAGGGATATCAAGCAAGGGTTTAGAGGATATTTGAACTAGTTTGACTGCTGCAGCATCACAAGGAGCGCTGCTGTTCTGCTGTGGCACACAGGCTCTGCAAGGCAGAGACCTGAGCAAGAACCAGCAGCTCCTTTCAGAGCTAAGTGGGCAGTTGGTGGTGGGGTTGGGGAGGGGAAGCTGGATCAGCTCTGAACCAGGGTCTTAAGATCAATACTATGCTGGTGAAAGACCACAGCTGAACTGAAAGGTAAAAACCCTCCCTGGACAAGCAGATCACCGAAGGTTCAAAAACAGCCTGCCAAGGAAGCACTGACAACTGCAGAAGTTGCTAACTAAGATGAAAGGACACTAAATGCCTTTGTCTGCAATGACCACACTATCAGCACCTGTGTTATCTCCAGTCTATTATACATTTCTGCAATGTTTTATCCAGCAACAGCAAAACCAGAGTTCTGCCTCCACCTGATACTCCTGGAGTGGGAGTGAGCACGAGACCAGCCTGCCGCAGCCTCCACTGCAGCATGGACACTG